AAACGAAAAATGAAACAAGACAGGTAAAATAAAGTCGTGGCATAATCTCACCTTTTTCGACGCAAGATACTCCATGCCTCTCGCCACGCAGTATCCGAAAACAGTGAGGTCTCTTGAGGTGAGCGCGGCCGAGTCTTCACTGAAATTGTAGAAGTCCTGCCTGGTGCGATGATCGCGCAGGTACGCCAACAATTTCCCGTACATCACGTACTCCAGTATAAGGTAATGAGGCTCTGCAAACAAGTACGCGTACGATTGCATAATTAATTTCGTAGAATTACAGTTTGATCGGCGTTAACTCGGCGTTAAATGAATGAAGCGCGTGAACGAGGACGTGTATGGGATTAGAAGACCCCATGGCGAGAAAACGAAGGGCCATACCATACGGGCCAGGCCCTCAAAGTAATTTAACCGGAGCACTTTCGGGGCTCCCCTGTTGGTCAGCAGTATCCGGCTGATTGTAACTTATGGTCCCACTTTTGCTGGCTTCGCAAGCTCGTAACTTTCATATTAGGCCAGCATTACCAGTCTCTCTAACAACTTTCGTTTATTAAGGAGCGTTTCTTTTCTGCGGGCTGGTTCGTTCCGCACCGAGCGATCTTTATACCCCAGTCACAATATTTGCACGGTGGGGAGTGCATATAACATTGCAAATGGGTAACAAGATACAGTGAATTTAGGGTTTCGTTTGTGGTGTTACAACAACTGGGGTTAACAGTTGTATTCCTGAACAGCGAGTATGTTTGTGTTCCGATTACGATGTCAGAGACGTAGATAAAGTTTAGTAGTTAGATCATACTCAATAACATGAAATATAGGAATACAGATTTTTTTTTTATGAAACAAAGATATGGATTAGAATTTTATTCGTCAATCGTGGATGTAGTGTAGATATTCCGTTGAAAGATTACAAAATTTATGAAGTTATTATGGAAAGCCAATTGATGACAAGGGATCTTATATAATTTTTCGTTTCCACTGGTAGAATGAAGATGAAAATCTTCAAGAACGATTTGAAATGAATCTAAAGATTCACTTATAATTTTATAACTGCATAATGTTCTAAATTAAGGTCCTAGAATCTTCTGACCTTTTCTTTATTCATCACAAAATTGTATTTGTTACAATTAATTGTCATCCGAAGCAGTCGGGAAAAGGAAAAGGTACCCAAAAATTTGCACAAAGTTTCTCTCGAACAATCTTATAAATAAATAGACGTTGTGATTTCAGAAGATATTTAAGCCGCTAATTTAGAAATTAATCACTAGTGACATCGAAGAATGCTTCGGCTGATAGGATTCTGAACAAACGACGTGCCGCTACAACCACTCGAATGGCCAAAATTTGTCACTGGTAATCGCCGGTTGCCACATAATTAACACCACGCGCGATACTTTATCGAAGGGGAAAATAATACGAGCCATCGCGAGATCAGAGGAATACGACCTAGCGAAATACCACGAGCAAAACGGATCTTTAATTGTGCGCCTAATTTATTCACGATAAAGTATTATGGATCCTCGTTTCGTGTGAGCAACACCGACTCTCGATTAGACCTGTTAAAAAAAGAAGAGGAACAAGCCGCTATCGTCAAGGGAATTCTTTTAAGGATTGCATAGGGTGTCAGAAATTTTTCAACGTACTACGAGACAGTCGAACTGATTAATTACTTTGTCTCTTCTCCCATCTCGAAGTATGTAATTATTCGAATTACGTTCCCCTTTTCTTCTCTTTATCATTCATAGAAGATAACGATGAAACGTGGCAATATATTTTTCCATCATTCAAAGGAGCTTTTTGTTGAGATAGTTCTTCTTTTTTTTTTCAATTTGTTGAAAAGGACCCCTTTGACAAGGGGCAGCCGTCAAAGGACGAAAACGTCGTGAGGAATTCGAGCGCGCTCACCATGACCGAAACGATAAATATGAGGGGCCAGAAGTTTAGATGCCGTAAATCTTGCAAGTAGATTCACGCAGGCGTGTGTTTCTTCTTCTACACGCGTCGAACGTAGACGAAGAACCTTCGGGGTGGCGCGTCCCAAAACGAACACATCGCGCCGGCGTCCTCCGCGTGGACCTTGAGGACTTCGAGATTCATAACTATTAGGACATTTTACCGCAACTTTTTCCTAAGAGAATACTAATTCTTTTAAGAGAAAGAAAGACTGAATTCTTCAAATATTATAAATTACTTGTATATACATAGGAAATTTAAATATATTAAGTACAAATGTATAGAATATACATAATATGTAAATTATAATAAAATAAAGAATATTCTCAGTTCAAATTGCTGGCGAATTATTCTGAATTTCGAATCTATTTCTCATGAAACCTAACGCATACATACCTTTTGTTTTTACAAATCCCTGCATCGTCATTTCTTGATCGTTTTCCTTTCGATAATTCGAATCAATAATCTCATTTAATATTCAATTCTAATATTTACGAACGAGACACATATACACATACAGAAGATTTTCCACACGACTCACAAAAGTAGTATCCTACATCTCAGAAATTCTAAAATGGCGTCGCAAAAGCCACGTATACTTTCGTATACTTCGAAACGTTATCAGACGGTAAATCAAATTTTTCTGGACGTATGCCAAGAAGCTACTTCTTGCCAGAGGGGGATTAAAGTTTATACTATTACTAGACCAGTATTCGACATTAGCATACAATCGCGAAAAAGGCTAGTGTGCGCATAAATATCGAGGGTGGACCGTAACGACGTCAAATCCAGATCGACGTTCGGGCCGATCGTATCGATACCGGCGTATCCACTGTCTGAACCTCGCTACGAACGATCATTTCGCCGACTTAATAGACGTATTGTGCTACGGGGATCGTTGCCGTGGGGACGCGTATGGAAATTTATACGATGAGAGCGACGATACCGACGAGCCTGCAACGAAAGACGTATAATGGGCCTGCCTCTTTGAAATCCACCACGACTAAGACTACCAGATTGTCTCGTTGCTGTTTTTGATGTCTCAACCATCGGATTTGTCGTTAATGCAGCCGTTGATGCATATGAAATTTTAATTTCACTTCCATCTGACCTTTTTTCTTTTTTTCACTTATTTTTCTTCTATTTTTTCCTCAAGATTTGATTCATCTGACAGCTCGAATATTATGCAACATATATACGTATTATAGTTTCAATTTTTGGTTTCATCTGATCTTCTTCTCTCATTTATCGTCTTGCGAAAAATGTTTGACTGACGTTAAATTTTAATTGAAGAAAAAAATTTCTTGTTCTATCTGGTCATTTATTCATTGTTCTTTCTTTTCCTGTCTTGTTTTTAAAGTCTGTTTCATTGAAAAATGTTTTTGAATTTCTTTTCGAAATTGTAATTGTTGTTTCGTTGTATTCTTTTTTCAACCCTGTCTCATCTTTCTTCCGTTTCGTTCCCAAGAATCGATTCCTTGAAAAATTCAATGCCAATGGCAATGGTGTAGCAAGAATCGGACTTTCAAGAACGACACACGAGTATTTGGTTTATCGTATTGAGACAGGTGGCCATTGTTTTATTATACGAAGCGATTACATTTCGTTGCATTCCTCGGCGTAGTTTCGTGCGTGTAGCTGCGCGCATTTGGAAAAATAAATAAAAAAAAAAAAACACAACGGCAATTTGCTGGTTTATCGTTGCATCGAGATAATTACATCCAATGCCGAGAATTACTGTGATTACTTAGCGTTTTTAATGGCAATCTATTATACCTTGATTAATCAAACAAGCAAAATAACTTTTAATTATTTCGCGTTTCAACCTTTAACGCGCCGTGAACATCCACGGAAACGAAATTCGCTTTGATCGATGCATTCACAATCGATGTTCGTATCGCGAAATTAATATGTGTTAAACTTCGTGACACACAATTTGCTGAAGTAAGGAAAAATTCTGACGAATTAGCAAATTTTGTGTAAACGCGCGTATCATCGCGCAATAGTAATAATAATCATACAACGTTGGTGTTTTACAAAATTTCTCAATCTCAGAATTGCAGTTGGACATTCGAAAAGTGAGAATGATGCGACGAAATAACAGATTAAGAAGAAACTTTCCATCGTGACTTTTTATTTCTAATCTACAAAATTCTTAATTTCTTAAGAATTTTCTTTTGTTTCCAAAGCCTTTTCCTTTACAATTTCATAGTACTTTCCGTTCTCGAAATCCCTGATGTATCTCCCTCGCTCTTCAATTTGCCTCAATCTGTTCGAATCGATCAGTGGGCATAGCTCACCTGAGTATCTCGGACACAAAGGAATTCTCTCTCTCTCTCTCTCTCTCTCTCTGTCGCTGTGCATCGTGTCTCCTTACAGAAGAGAGAAAAATCGAATTCAAGCATTTGTCGCGATTATCCAACTCGCGTGTGCAACTCGTTAATCCTCCGTGGCGAGTTCGCGGAGGCTGTTCGCCAGAACTATTACTCAATTAACAGCAGGATGATGGCGCGTAAACAGCGAGTACTCCTCCGCTGGTTACCAACGGATCGATCTTCCTTTTATTTCCTAAACAATAGCGCACGCGTGTACATGATCACGGTGATCGGTTGGAGACGAAGGGGAACGAACACCTATCACGGCTGACTCAATGACGAGGAATGCATCTCTCTCGCGCGCGCGATCCCTTAACGCTGTCTTCAATATGCATTACGCCGTGTTTCACGACGATACGATCTGCGGACGGTCGTCGTCGAAAACATGGAATCGTAAATAATTAAAGATGCGCTAGCCGAGGCGAGATAAAGGCGCGATCTCAGAAACGACTACGATCGAAACCAGTTATTGTGTGTAGTTCCGTGGGCCATGCAAGGTGTGAATTATTATTTACACCATCGATTCACGGGGAACGACGATGGCGTTGAATAACAGGGAGGAAAACGTAAAGGACGTGAAAAGGGGGAGGAATTTTTCTTTTTTTTTTTTTTATATTGCGGTTCGTTTCGACCACTGCGATTGATGGCGAATTTTCTGGAGAATTCAAATGCGTAGGAGAAATTTCTGCTCAATCTTTCCAGCACATCCGTAAAAATATGCAATTCATAAATATCTGCAGCCTGGCGACTGATCGAAATTATAATTTCCTTTTCGCGATATTGTTACAATATTTTCTGACTTTTTTTCTTTTTTTTAAATGATATTTGCAATGTTCAATTAAAATTGGAAGAAATTGATTTCTCGCTATTGTATCTGACGCTCGAATACTAAAGTCTTTAAATTGCTCCTGTGAATACGTTGCGTAATTTGAGAAAATTGGAAGAATTGCTCCTGACAATGGGAATACTAATGGCCACGTTGTTTCATGCGACAGGCGTCAGAGTGGAAAATCGAAAAACAAACGTTTGAGGACGTAAACGGGCTGGAATGTCACTTTTCAGATAAACGAAGCCTCTTCTTAGACGCTTGATTACTTAATCATCGTATTCTGCAATTCTGCGGATTCTCTGTAATAAATGAACCGCCACTTAAAGTGCCACCAGTTTTTACAAAGCTAGTCGCCGAGGTTCGCGCGGGCAAGGTCAGAAATAAATGACTCGTGAACTTGGTAATAAAATAATATCTGTCGTATTCGAACTACGTGGAACTACACCTGCGACATCCTTCGTGACCGTATAAAGATACAGAATGATGGATTGTTGGTCTAAGAAATGAGATATTACCTTTTTAAAAAAAAAAACCAATTGGAAAAATAAAAAATCTCTTGGTCTAACAAACTATTTCCCTCTTTTGATATCAAATGTATCAGTAAACGATAGTTTACTAGCAGTTTCAACTTTCTAAATATATCAACGTAGTATTTTGGAAATTATAAAAGAATTTCGTTAATATTTTAATTGATCCAATTTGAAATTTTATATGAATTGAAATGTTATATGAATTGTTGAAGTTTAATTGTGAGCCTACCTTGTTCCGTACAACAACCTAAAAGAGTGACGACGTTCGGATGACTGCCGAGTTGCTGCATAATTTTTAGTTCTCGAACTAGATCCTCCTTCTCTCGTTCGGAAGCACCTTCCTTGACGGTTTTCACGGCCACTAAACGAGTCGTTCCTTGATGGCCAGTCAAATCGTCTGCCTCAGCCTTCCAGACCTAAACGACCAAAAAATACAACGTGAATCCGACTTTCTAATAGGATTTTAATTATAAGCTTTATCCTCCGCGTGGAACTGCAGTTTCGGCGTTCGAACACAAAATTATATAACTGATAATTATTACTTAACAAAAGTTTCTTTGATTGAAAAAAAAAGAGAGGAAATGCTTTACCTGTCAATTAAAACAGTATTAAAGCTCGTTATACAAAACGTTGCAAACTAATTTTCCCATTGGACGATACTCCAAACGACTCGATTCTTCGACAGTTCTTACACAACAAATAATTGTGTAATAAAAAGAAAAAATCTACTACCGACAATCGATGAAGCATTCACTGTTCGCTTGGAAATTTAGCTTAATGAACATTCCAGGAATCTCTAAATCAAATGTATATAAGCAATTCGAACGTCTACGCAAAGAACAACAAATTAATGGAAATGTTTAAATTACGTCACCGCGAGTTCCGTGAATTATTGCATAAATAACAGTCTGAACCTTCCTGAATCACTCGTTGAAACAGACAATTTGATTAAAGGAAATTATAATCGATGTAACACGATAAAGCTGTCAATCTCAGAACGAACGATGTTAATCTCTTAAAACATCACGGTAGTGTATTCAAAATTCTAAATCATCCAATAAAACAGACGATATAATTAAAAAAAAAAATGATAAACAACACAATGATACAAAAGAGAAAAATTGCAATATTCCTTTCAAAAGCTGGAGAGAGTGTCCCAAAGGATAGAACCGAAAATTTCGCGAGTGACGCGCGTTTCACGTTAACGTCCGACGATTTATTATCACGGGCTCTCGTCTCGAGGGCCCCCGGGTTCCGTTCCTGGTTTTCGTTCGCAGGAGAGACGAGAACGCCTTACCTGGCCGAAGTTTCCTTGGCCGAGGACCGTCTGTAACCTAAGCTTATCTCTAGGAAACTCCCATCTGGATTCTTGCGACGACGGAGGCGGTGGTTTCTCCGCTTCGTGACACTGAACAGAAAGAAAAGGCTGTATTGAATCGCGAACGATAATTATTTAAAAATGCCTGACGAATAAATCTGCGGCCGACCAGTTCCCTTTGATGCACCGCGAAACTACGGGGCTAAAAGGTGAGCAGAATGCCGTTCTGCGTTGTGAATTATCGTCTCTTCGCGGCGATTATTTTCCGAATGAGCCGTCCAAATAGACGGAATAGCATGGAACTACGTGAAGATGATCGGGCAGCTCGATCATTTCAACTTAAATTAATTAAGTTAACCCTTAATTACGACACGGTCGTTTGTAATTTTGATTTTATTACATTATGTCGTATATTATCTTTCGATGTTATCTTTTATTATATTTTAATGTTATTGTATTTAGTGGAGAATTTTAGATTCAGAGTTTGAATTATTATTATTGAAAACATTTTTTTATTATTACGCAAGATTTGAACGAACGAGTGCCATAGCATCAGATAAAATGGTCTCGATTGAACGACAAAAAATATACGAATATCTGTTAGTCGAAAGTTGACAAATTAGTTGGGTCTATTTAGAAATTATTTAATAGTCTGTCTCTTATTCTGTTGCTCATTTCTTTTTACGATGAAAGATATTAGAATTTTAGATAGACGAATTTTAACAACTTTGATCACCTGCGAAGATTACTTCAATCTTATCTGTTACGATTGACTTCCGATAGAAGTTACATTCAATTTCACGATTTGCAAGCACGTGATTCGCAGAAGAATCTTAACAAATGATTTATGATTTATTGATTTACTACTCATAAAAGTTACGTCCAAATTCATGATTTTGAACGCGCATGGATAATTCTTTCGTCACCGGGGACGAAAGACTTTTACGCGCGAGTAAATAACCGCTTTATATTTGCACAATGCTCATTCTATTTGTATATAATTTAGATAAACACGTGAAATACGCAAATGCATACCAAGTGTTGTATCCTCGGAAGCTTCGTGATCGCCTTCTCGATGGATGTCTTGAAGTCGCCATTTTCAAGGTTCAACGCGTCCTTCCGGCAGCTTATTTCCGACGACGTGTCCGACTCCTCCAGCACCTACGAAAAAATATTAACGTATCATCGTGTTGTGTATGTACACGCTCGAGAAGAACGATCGAGCGTTGCAGCAGTTTACGCGAAACTTCCATTTCCTTTCTCGTAGTATTTTCTTAGTTCGTGATTCGAGCGGGCGTATGCAATAACAAGCAGTCATGTTTTATCGATCGTCTTATGTTTATTTAATTACAGACGTTCGACGGGTACCGTGAATTGCCTCGTTATGCGAAGAAACGTATTTTTAACGAACGAAGCGAAATTTCATGGATAACATCGATGGATACGAATACATCGTGAGAACGAAAATTGAAAATCCACGGTATGCAAACGAACGTCAACGACGTCGACGAAGAAAAATGTGTTTGACGCAAACGCGAAAGAAAATACGTGACTCGTTGGCTCTTTTGAGAAGATCATTCTCGTTACGTTCGAATCACACCTTTGAAAAAACTGTCTCCGCGATATCGGAATAAATAACTTTTTAACGACACGAATAACTCTTTGTGTTAAACCAATTTACGTCAATGTTTAAATATTCTTACTTGAGAATCGAGTTCGAACTTGAAATTAAATTTCCCTGTCTATCGACGACAAACGTGTTTTTAAACTTCGATCGATCGTTCGAGAATCGTTTAACAAATTCTTTCGAATATCCGTTCTTCCCGTAATACTTCAAATTGTCGCGATTTTCCAACGGCAAAGTCCAACTTTTCTTCCATTGA